CTTGTCTAAGTTAGGAGGGTAGATGACATCTTCCCCCAACATCAGGGAGTGGAACTGGAGGACAGCAGCTCCAGCACAGATGGGGAATCTCCCACAAGCTTTCCCAGATTTTCTGGAGCTCCAGGGCAGGTGGTGGAGGCTTGCTGACAACAGGATCCTGGGTACAAGTGGGGAGGAGATTTGGAGGACTGCCCATGGGGGAGCCAGTAGTGATGGATACACAAGGAAGCACTGAGTGAGGAAAAGTTGGATGAGCCAGGTTTGGGTCTGGTCAGGACCAGCAGTCATGGAGCAGAATGGAGGGCAGCCGCTGAAGAGTGCCTGGCAGGGACAGGCTCTGGTGGTGAGAGCCTGGATGCGGGCCAGGGGAAATATGACAGGGGTGAAGGAAAGATATGGGGATGGGCTGAGGAGCAGGCCAAGGATGACCCCATGTGTTGTTAAAGGTCATATCAAGTCAAGGGAATGATCTTTTGAAGCTTTGGCTCAATCAGGAGAGCTGAATATGGCAGGTTCTGAAGGGAACCATTGGTCTAATAGGCAGGACAGAGTGGGATTTCCTCCCCCTTGCAGAAAGCATTGGAAAAGCCTGGCTTATCTCCATCTTTGAAATATGCCTTTAACAGATACTTCCTCTGGTGTCTGAAGAGAAAACTGGGCAGCCACATCCTGGTACCTGGAGGGTTAGGGAGAGAGGATGTAGGTTGTGCTAAAAACATCTACTCCCATTTCTGGTTCATAAATATATTTCATATTTCTGCATACTTCAACTGAGATCACATGCTGCACATGTGATTATTATTAACTAGGAATAAGGCCTGTTGTGGAAATAAATACAACGAAATCTAGAAAGAGGCTCTGGGACAGTGCCCCAGCTTTGGGCACACAGTGTGAATTTGCTGTGGTGACCTCAGCAGGGTATAATGGCAGAGTCCACTGTTTTCTCCAGAGGAACTGATCTCTGCTACCTGAAGAGCAGTTGTAATTTTCAGTGATCTCCAGCCCTCACCTGGAGATTGGCAACAATTGTTACCCAGGATGAAATGGCTGGTTTGGAGGGTGGAGTCTATGGCATTGTACCTGTCTGAGGTCCCACCCCTCCTCAAACCCCACCCTCTCTAGGCTCCTCCCCTCAAATCCCCAGGAATTTTCCAACCTGGAGTTGGCAACCCCATCTCCTTCCCAGCTAATTATCAACCTACAGTTATCTGCCCCTCTGACTTCAGCTGACTTCTCCCCTCCCTCTTGCAGAACAATTGTAATTCTGAGTGGTCTCCAGCCCTCACCTGGAGATTGGCAGCAATGGTTCCCCATGAGGGACTGGCTAGTTTGGAGGGTGGAGTTTATGGCATTGTACCTGTCTGCGATCCCACCCCTCCTCAAACCTCTCCATCTCCCGGTTCCACCCCTCAAATCTCCAGGAGTTTCCCAACCTGAACTTGGCAACCCTATATCCCTCCCAGCCAATTGTCAACCTACCATTATCTGCCCCCTGACTTCAGCTTTCCATCTCCTCCCCCCTCCCTCCTGGAGAGCAGTTGTAATTCTGATTGATCTCCAGCCCCCACCTGGAGATTGGCAACAATGGTTCCCCAGGATTGAATGGCTGGTTGATGGGTGGAGTCTATAGCATTGTACCTGTCTGAGGTCCCACCCCTCCTGAAACCTCACCCTCTTCAGGCTCCATCCCTCAAATCTCCAGGAATTTCCCATCTGGAGTTGGCAACCCAATGATTTTTCTCCCAAAGGCCAAAATAGGTGACAGGACCAAGCTTAGTTGCCTACCAACAGGCACTGAGGGGAAAGTAGGGTTGCCAGCTTTAAGTAGGGAAATACTTGGAGATTTGGGGGGTGGATCCTGTGTAGGGCAGCATTGGGTGTGTGTGGAAGGACTCAGCAGGGTATAATGCCATAGGGTCTACCCTCCAAAGCAGCCGTTTTTTCCAGGGGAACTGATCTTTGTAATCTGGAGATCAATGGTAACAGTGGGTGATCTCCAGAAAGTCTGTGGCTGGTCTGAAATCACCCAGGGATTCCATAGGGATGCCCCTGCTG